ACAACAAAAACAAAAATAATGGATCAGTGCACAGTCAATATTCGACTATAATTTCTCACTCTCAAGATAAGGAGTCTATTGACAATTAATCTTTATTTAACATAATCATAAGATTTGGATGAATGTTGAAAGAGAGATAGAGACACCCTTTAATAAATGACAATGTAATTGGTTAGATTAGATGATAATTATCGTAAATACAAGACGTTGAATAGTTTATTTCTAATAATTGTTGCTTCATGTTGAAAAGTTCATCTGTATGTATTGTATTAAAATGTGGTTGAAGTGGAATATATCTCAATAAGGTTCGAATGAAAATAATTTTGACCAATCAAAATTAGAAGACGAGACAATTCTTCTATCTGGACCTTATGGTGATGATACTACTTTTGTTAAACAATCAAATGATCATATTTTTATTGGTAAGATTTTATATCAAAAAGAAAAAAAACGAAAAGATAAAGTTTACTTAGAAGGTTTATAAGATGGAGTAAGTGGAAATCGTCATTATGATCTTGATACATATATATTTGTTCATACATTAATCTCATCATGTTTGAAATAAAATCAAATTCAACAATACTTAATCATGATAAGTAAGTAGTTTTTGTTTATATTTATTCATTTCTTTATTAAATTAACATAGACTAAGTAATGAAGAATATATTGAACATAGTTTTGAGATAGGTGATTTATTATTAGCAATTTTTTCGACATACCATTGTGTGGAATAGATGCAACTGATGAGAGAGAAGAAGAATTACTAGCTATGGATCCACAAAAATTAGTCACTACCAAAATTGATCGGTACGAAAATTAGTCACTACCAAAATTGATCGGTACGAAAATTAGTCACTACAAAAATTGATCTACATGAATAATAGTCGAAAAATTCTTAATAAAAAAAAAAAAGAAAAAAGAATTTATCAACAAGAGCGATAATACTGTGATAAATAAATTAATATTAGTATGTAAGCTGTGGCTGGCACTTTTAATATATTTGTCGTAGTATCCTGTGCAAGTAAAATGGACTCCAACCTCTCTCCAGAAAACATTTGGTCTTAGACAGGAGAAAAAATAAAAATAAAAATCGGATGCGAGTGTTGTGATGGATCCTCTTGAATCCCATCGCACACTAGAATTTACAGCAGCTCTAACACTCATACCTGCACCTCCACCCGTACCCTCACCTACTTTCGCATCAACGCTGACAATCATACCACACTTTCAAAATGCTTTTTTTCGCAGTTCCAGAGCTCTATCAGAATTAATTTCGATATGATTTCATGAAAATACATGAATCAAACAATTTTAATTTTACAAAAGAAATTCTAGTTCATATACTGCATGTATTAGGAAAAAGCTGTTCTAGTGATGGACAGTTTATTAACGACGTCTCCCGTTTTCTTCTTGTAAGGGTTTGGTTGATTCGTCGCATTTGAAACTTTTATTTTCTTTTATTAAGAATTTTTCGATTATTTTTCACATGGATCAATTTTCGTATCGACCAATTCTCCTCTACCAATTTTCGTTCGACTATTTTTCGTTTGTCCAATTTTCACTTTCCCCCTCATTACATCTATCCGTAGTACATCTATTTGTATAACATTTTTTTTAAACATAATAATCGTTTTATTTTGTGCCGTGATTGGTTCACAACTATAAAAAAAAAGTAAGACAGATGAAAAAGGAAAATGAAGAATAGAATCGTGTTTAATAACTACGCATTATAATTAAATAGCTGGTGCATTCCAGAAATCGATATCATGTCTCTCCAGAAAAAAGAGAATAACAAAATAATAAAAGGAATATAATAACAAAAAGAGTAGAGATGAAAACATGACATCAATTGAATTCGATATAGCGCAAAAGAAAAGAACGCACACGAAACGTTTATTTATGAGAACAAATGCATGTTTAGTTGGAATGGATATCAGGTATTTCTTATGTATAGAGATATGTTTAAATTTAACTTGAGAGGAACTGACAAATGAAATATTTATAAACAAACAGATTTATAACACTAGTATTTATTTTATAATGGTTTTCTATTAAAACTCATACTTTTGTACCAACTCGTATCTGAAGACATTATTATTTTATAAGCTTGCCATGTTTGCTGGAATAATAAAGCATCGAGTGATTTCTCGAGATGTATACTAAATTTAGACCAGTATGAATATAGATAGTCGAGTAAAGACCTTTCTTGACTCAGAACAAAAATAGTTACGTCATTCCATTTTTGTAAAGAATAGGTGATCCTTATACCTGAACAATATACGTGTTCAATATATCTTCTTTGTTTATCGGTATAAAGGAGCCAAGTCGAAAATAACCAAAAAAACTAGGGCATAACGAAGGCGGAAAAAATCTTTTTTCTCATCGTAATATTATTTCTGGAAACGGTGTGAAATAGCATTTTCATACCCTGATACATTTTTCTTATTCTATCACTAATAAAGGTACCCCATCCTAGTTTAGTAGCAATTGTTACACCCAAGTATTTAAAACTTTTTACATATTCAATTTGTTACCCTCTGAACTCAATTTTAGGTTTGATCAGTGCAACTACACTATGTACCAGTAGTGCTTTTGTTTTCTTTATATTAACTGGAAGCATATTATCATCAGCAACTTTTCTCAAAATGTCTAATGTTAATTTAGCTCTAACTTCGAGTTCAGTTATATTTGTTGAGAAGCGCTTTTCCAAATCGCCTGATATTTGCATGGCAAGATCATCAGCAAATATATGTGACGCAAACAAATAGAACAGAGAAGGGAGAATATGTACATGTAAACGAAATAGTGTGGCAGCAAGTACCGATCCTCGTGAGGCGCCTACATACATTGGAATAGTGCGAGAGTGTGCATCTCCATGATAGATTGATACTGTACGATCCTGTAACCAATTATAGATCCACTTAAGTAGTGGGAGTGGAAGTTCTAGATCTTTTAAGTTTGAAACCAGTGCTGGATACCACATTTTATCGAATACACTCAAATTAAAATCAACAAATAAAACTAGTGCGGGTATATTAGAAACTGAAATCGTCAGCCTTAAATCCTCCACTAGTGACAAAATTCGTGTTTGCAATCTTCTTCCTGCAGTGAATCCGTTTTGTTCATCAATATAAATATTATTATCATTACACCAAGATATTAATCTCTGATGTATTATTCTTTCAAACCACTTTCCTATATTAGGTAATAAGGAGATTGGACGTAACTTGTTTAATGTTGGATATAGTCATTCCTTAGATAAACATATAACTTTGACATATTTAGCCATTTTGAAGAAGGCTCCTCTCTCTGCACATCGATTAAATACGGTAGTAATGATAGATATGAATTGAGGTGGTAATTTTTTAAGTAAAAATACAGAAATATTTACACTATCCGTAGATTTATTTGGAAGAAATTTTTTCATTCCCTTACTACTTCCTCGAATTTAATTTGTTCAAGAGGCAAATCAGGTAAATTAGATATCTCCTGTTATGCCATTATTGAACGTAGATGCATAGAGTTGGTTGTATCATAATTAGGGGCCTCAAAATGTTTCTCATAGTGATCCGCCAATATATCAACAATTTTTTCGGAAGTTGTTTCTTTCTCAGTATTATCCACTGTTAATCCCCGAAACGGAGGTGAAAAAGCGTGAAAAATATGTCTAACATATTTCCAAATATTATTATTTACACATACCCAATTCAATTGATTTTCATGTTTCGTTTGCAAAAATTTACATCTTTCCGCAATAAATACTCTTTTACTATTCAAAAAGTCTTCTAAATTGGTTATTAATTTAGTACACCGATAGCACCTTCTTTTTCTGTTTACTTCTTTTGCCAGTGAAACTAGTGAGGGGGGCATAGTGGCCTGTACTTCTCTGCTTGTTCATAAACACTACAGCTATCCCATAATGAAGACAGAAAGGCAGAGAGAAGTTCTATGTATGAGTCAGTATCAAAATTATAAGCTAACGCATTCCAATAAGCAAAAAGAACTGATAAAAAGAAAGTGAAAACATTCCAATTAGCTTTACAAAAGTATGCTCCAATAGTTACACTATAAGGAGATTGAAAGAGTATCGGATGATAATCAGGGGTCCCTTCCTCTAATACTTCTGTTTGCCAGCCACTGGCATCTTTTGTCACACCAAAATCAATTATCACTTCAGATCTACGGGATGTCGGTTTTGAAGGAGAAACGACTTCTGTTCCGGTATGCTCAAGCCAATTAAACAGCTGATTTCCACTTGGATTGTTTTTAGGACAATTCCAATCTGTATGCTTCGCGTTATAGGCTCCAAAAAAAATAAATTTTTGATTTCAACATTTAGTAAAAAGGTGAAATGAAGGATACGAAGAAGGAGGAACATAAACAGCACCTGTTTATTTGTACATCTGCTAGAGATAAATCGATAACCGAAAAATTAACTTCTTTTTCCAGCACTTTTAACTTCAGTACATTACTATATAGTATTGCAACACCACTATAGGCATTATTACCAGCTTATGCAATACCATGATAACCAGGAAAAGAAGGCAAATTTTTAGATGCGGCATCAATTCCTGTTAATACACATATATGAGGTTGATAATTGTTTAATAGAATATCTACATCCGATATTTGGATATTCAATCCTTCTACATTATAAACTAGAAACAAAAGGTTTTCAGATGAAATGATGGGCCGTACTTTTTTTCAACTTCTATACATACTCGATATGGAAATACGTGAATTCCATTCCACTAAAATTTCACTTAGAAGTTTCATTTCATAGGGGGTTCCAATAAAAGAATTAAGAACAGATAGAGGTTTACATGTCGGTGAATAATGAAATATTTTACTGTTCATTTGATGGCATAAGTTCAATACCTTGTCTAAGTAAATCATTAAATTTTTCAATTAGTGAAGCTGTTGAACGTTGATGCTCTATAATTAGATTATTGCGATCATTAAGCATGTTTAAGCTTTGCTCGATAGTAAGTTGAAGAACATTATACTGGTTTTTTTAGGTTTGTATCATTAGAATTTCTAATAATTTTTTCAGGACACATACGTACTGACGTAAGTGAATCATTAATTATTGGAACTAATTTATTTACAATAGTATATATTTTGGTAATACAATCATTTTGTTGATTGTTTTGAATCATTAATAAATATAACATTGAACCAAGTTTCAAGTTGTAGTTCTCATGCTTTATCATTAATTCATTTTCACATCGATTAAATTCTAATTTTAATTTTTCATAATCATTTTTTAATGAGTTTTCTTGATTTAACATATCTTCCACTGCATTGGCATTATGTTCATTTAAATGAATTTTTGATAATGCTGATAGCAATGGTGGCCATTCTTTTAATTGAGGTGTACTTGCAGGTAATTGTGAATATAAGTAATTTGCACGTTTACCACTAATAGAGTTTTTACCACCATCTCTATATTCAACCGGAATGAATATTTGTACATTTTGTGGTAATAATTCGGGTCTTTTTCTTAGTTCATCAATAAGTTCTTTTCTAAAATTACTAATAATTGGGCATCGATAGTCTGTGACTAAATGGTCATCTTCACAATGATGACACTTAATGCTGCATTGCAAATGATCACCGTCTAATTTATTCATACCACATCTACGACATTTTTCAACTGTTTCTTTATATTCTCTTATTGTATGTTCCGGCCTATTACACCAGGTACACATAAGTATTTGAGGAGGAGCTAAAAACTCAACTATCTCAATCAAATAACCATCTAAAGGCAGGACACCTCCATTTAAGATTTTACGAACTACATCTTTGGATGCTATATCAATACGTATATGTCTAGATTTATTTGTTATTGAACTTTTCATTTCTTCAATTGAAAATTTCGAATAACAAATTGCTAACATAGCTTCATGTACTTCGTCACAAGATACCATTTTCGGTACATATTTAAGAATAATTGCATATTGAGGTGGTAAATGAATTGGTGGAATTGGATTCAGTATAACATCAAATACTTTCGAAGGATAATGTGAAACGACTCAAAGATAAACAAAAAGTTCTATTTTTCTTCAATAGGACGATTGTATCCTTTATTAAGTTTACAAAAATTATCATTAATTTGAGAAAATAATTCTTTTAATAACTTCGTCCCCTCCTGGTGATTTTTAATACCAGGTTGACACATGATTTTCAATGGAGGAGGGAGGAGGCAGTTTAAACATGACTGCGTGTTGCAGTACTGGATGAGAAACTTTTCTTTTTAGATATTGACGTGAATCTTCTTCATATACTACATCTAATGAACTATTATTTCTTTTCATATTAATTTGATCAGTTTCACGATTACTTCTAAATTCATTTATATTTTTTTTCTTTCATATTGAGATTTTGAGTTATAAATAACTAAACCTCTTCCACCACTAGTGCTTTCTCCGTTGTCATTATGCACCTGGTGACCTTGACAGTTCACTTGGTGCATATTGGTGTTACCCATACTTTGATTTTCTGAATTAATTAATGATCGAGTTCTTTTGTAATTTCTTCTTCTAACTACTCGAAAGGAACCATTGTCAACTACAGTTGCATCAATATCATTATCTTCATAACGACTTTTAAGAGTTGATATATTATTATTTTTTGTATTGAGCTATTGATTTTCATGTAAATAGTCATCACTTAATTTTTGTAATTCACTTTCGTTCACTAATTTATCTTTTGCAATTGATGTCATGTTTTCTTAAAAAGAATAAGAGATAGTATTTTGTCCGAATTCGATTATAATTTATAAATTAATTATAAAAGGTAAATTTCACACGTTGTGTATTAGAATTACTAATACACTCACACGAGAGAAAAGAAAAAGAAAACCAACCGCTTGCTATGTGTGCAGGGAGGAGAGTGATCTATTTGTATAACATCTACTTACACACATGGTATGTCGAAATAATTGTTTTATTATTCTATCTCTTTGTAGGAGTATTATTATCAATTAACCAATTTTATCCATGTTCAAGTAGTTGACTTGGGTAGATAAGTTATTTTCATAATCAATGTGATGTTTATTATGGCTTTGGATAATTTCTTCAATATGTTTAATGAAGTTAAAAAAGACAAGAAGACCAAGTTTGTATCGAAAAAAAAACAAAAGTTCATGTCAAGCGTTATATGGATACCTATGGTGATGACTATCAACGAAAGATAATCAAGAGTATTGTTGCTATCAGTTTAGCAAATGCAATACTCATTGATTCATCAGCAGATTACTTTATTGGATGGCTCATAGATTCACTAACGGCTTATTTTATTGGATGGACAGCAAGTTTAATCTTTATGTTAATTATATTCAACTTGCTTCCTTTCTTCAAAATGCCTAAATTATTTAAAACAATATCTGTTATTGAAACATATTAGTTATTATTTGAAACACAATTAATTGTTACGGTAGAATTTTACTGGTCTATTTTGTTATGTTGTATCTTGTTAGGTAGTATGACTTACGTATTTATTCATATTTGTTTGTAAGAACTTTTTTGTTCTAAATAAAACGATTTCTTTTTCATTATATTATCATATGCGAGATTTTATTTTATTAGTCAATAGATTAATTTTAATTATGTTTAAAATGAAAAGAATTCAATAATATCTTTTATTTAATAACAAAAGCATAATGATTGGAAATAAATTAGCAAAATATATAATTTACAATAAACACAAAAATAAATAAAATCTATTCTGTAAGAACAAATAGAACAAAAAAATCCTTAGTATTCTATCATCATCCTTTTTGACATCGATCGAGTTATTCCGCGATAAATATATCGAAATTAAAAAAGTAAAAAAAAGCGATTATTAATTTTCTTTTTTTTTTAATTATAAAAAAGTTTTTGTTTTTTACTTCAAGTTATTCATAATGAACTTTTCGGGCTAATAACCAATCATCAGCAATATTATCTTGTTCATCGACTACAGAAAAAAAATAAAATGCTTTTTTTTAAATAAAATTCAATATTTACTTGTTGGTTTAGGTTTTGCTGTTTGACGATGACATTTGGTTGTTGTTTAAAAATAATTTTTTAGATTTAGATTTTGATTCTCGTTTAATAATTCATTTTGCATAATCAGGATTATGACGAAGTCATGTCGATATACGACAACGACAAAATGGACATGATAATGTTCAATGAGTACATATCATATGAAGACATGATAGACATAACTATCCAAAACAAATAAAAAAAGATTCTTTGTTTTTTCAAAAATTATTTATTTACATTATGACCATTTGGTAATTCAAGAAGTTGATGTGTATTTGTTATCATACATATTGGACAATCATATGCAAATTAATGGTTTTGATTGCCATTTAGTATTACGTTGACTATGAATCGATTATTGAAACATGATTTCAATGAAACAAATATAGAATTAATTATTTCTATCGTAAAGATATAAATGAAACGCATAAGATTTGTCGTTAATCTCTTGATAAGAGATAGAGAGATAAATAATTGTTATTGTCTATTATTTAAATTTTTTAACGGTTTGATTATCAAGGTTATAAAATCGAATAATAAAGAATCATTTAGATGAACGAAAAAAAAGATAGACAAGTGCTATTAGAAATAGTTCACGATGTATATTTTGAAGAATTTTGTTTACTTATAGAATGTTATTTCAATAACTATTCAATACATTCCTATCAAGATAGACCAATTCAATCAATGTATTTATGTCATAATTGGCATATTTTCAGTTTTATTTTAGACAAAATTGATGTATTCATATCCATATCCATTAGAAAGCAAAAAATGTATGATAAAGTTAATAGAGTCTTATCTAATTAATTGTATTGTTCGAATAATGATACTAAAGCTATTCTAATTTATAATGATAAGAACTTGTATATTGAATGTTTCAAATCATCTATAAATGTATTTCCTTTATTCGATATTTAAAATCTGTACTACTGATGATAAATGAATCATAGATCGTTATGATCATACTTAAATACGATTTTTTTAAACTTTTGTGAAACTTGAGCAATTTTTATAGCATGATGAAAAGAACTTGACTAGTTATACGAATTTCATTTTATATGTTCCGTCCAGTTTAACACACGAAACTAAACGAAAATAATCTATGACAAGTATTTGACAGATATTCTATTTTAAATTCGCATGGAAATTTTTATTTTCAAAATAATAAATGTATAAAAAAAAATATCTTAATCGTAATAAAATTATTTTTTTCCATTTAAAATCTCCACAGATTATGGACATTGTCTCTATATACATTTTTTTTTGCTTTATGAAATAATGCTGTATAATTTGAATTTTTTCGAACATATTCTAAATTGTCTGATGCATTTGAATTAATAAGATTATTGTTCAATATTTTAATCAATGCAACATCTTCAAACATTTGAAAGTCATTTAAATATACTTCATTATAATTATCGATAAATAAAAAGTCCAATGAATGAATATTACAAATTTTTCTCACACGAGAAATGACATGTTTTTGCGTAATTATTTTAAATATTTATAGAATAAAACATACCAACTTAGTTATAAATAGAATGAGTGATTTCGATTGATTGAGAATCTCCTTGAATTGTAATGAAAAAAGCATCATATGATGATTGATAAATAGTTTTGAATAATCTATAACCATGAAAAGTACCTAAGAGAAAAAAAGACGCAAATAAATTTTTCATGATACAAAAAATTATACCGAAGTCAAGAATGACTTTTCTTTTGGTTCAAACGACTTTATCAAGAATTTTTCCTTTTCTATTATCAATATTGATTAATTATTTTTGGTTTTATCATCCAACTAAAGTTAACGTCATATAAGCATATTGATAAAGATTTATGAATACATCATTTTTAAATAATAATCATATTGATTGCATCTTCAACATTAAATCTATACATTTAATTTTATCCATAAAATTGATTTTTACATTTTTTTTTATGAGTAGATTTTAAATCAGCATTGTATACAGAATCATATAAAATGAAATAAATTCATTCGTATCAAACAATAGCGACATCTTGTTCAATAGTTCAGCTATTTGTTATATCGATTGTACCATTCATATATGTTCCACCATTTCATTCCTTTCTTTCAATCACGACAATAAGAAAAAAATTTTTTATCCTTGACATTAATAAAACAAATATCCGCTTGATATTAATAAAATCAGTAAGTAACATTCTTTTTTTTTGCTTTGTAGTTTTACCATATTAACAATCAATAAATTGTGTTGTTGATTCTTCATTGAATGTTGTATTTAAACGATAACCTAACACAATAGATTGTTCACGATGTTCAACATATGTTATTTGTATAAGATCAAGAATTGATCGATTACCAATAATTAAATATCGTTCACGTAATTGATCAAATTCTTTTATATTAGATAAATTTATTTCATAAATTAATGGACGCTTTATATCACGAAATAATCGTTCATATGGAATATTTTGTTCTGTACATATACGTTCAAGTTCATCAATAACCAATGTTCGAACTTTGGACTAGACAGACAAAGAAAAAACAAAACGAAAATATTTTTCATATAGAACAGATTTTTTTTATTATCTTCTATGTATATTTCAAAGAAAATATATATCAAATTATTTTTGTAATTTTAAAAATATTTAATATGACTATAAATAGAAAAGATCGAACATATTGTATTAGGTTAAATACTAATCTCTATTAGTTAAGTGAAAAAAACATAATATTAGAGTTAATCTTATCTTTTGTTAATATATTGAAGTCTTAGAAATATTCATTATTTGACATTGACACAAAAATAGAAAGATTAATATAAGATCCTGAAAGATATGACTAAGCTAATAGAAACATGTTTTTCTCAAATCTCATTAGATTTTTATAGATAATATTGACATATTCGTTTCTTTTTTTTATATTCTACTTGCTAATCATCATAGATTTGAAAAGAAGCATTTTATTTTTTTTTAAACGGAAATAGTCTTAAAAGCTTTATGACAAGTATAGTTTAAAATAAATTATAGGAAACTATATAACGAGAATTTTCTTGTTCTTTTTTTTTTTCTTACCTGAGCACAAAATCGAAATGCTTTTGATAGACGATTTAAGGATTTTATTTGAATATTATTTATCATAAATTGTATCGTTTGATGTTGATTATTTAAAATAAGTGCAATTATTTTAATATCAAAACTAATACGAAAACGTATAAAACGATGGTCATGAAAATTAATATGAAATACAAATTGTATACCATCTTCATGACAAAATAAATCTTGAAAAGATTCATCTTGATTTATTTCACATAATATACGTATTTTTCGTCTTATTAAATCTTCATCAATATAAATCCGATCATTACGAAATTCGTTCAAAAATTCATTCGGAAAATTTAATGTTTTTAATAATTGAACAAGTGTATTTTTATTAATAAAAAATTGTGTGGCGATTTGTGTAAAAATATTCATCGATCTAATAGAAAATTTAGTAGAAGAAAAGCAGGAAAAAACGCATAGAGTACAAATAAAAAGCACAAAACAAAAATGACAGAGAGACGTCGATGGAAAACTCAACAAGAGAAAAAAAGGCACAATGGTGACAGTTCGCATTCCTTCAGTGATGAATGAACACGATGCAGAATAACAAGTAGAAGAGGAAAGAAAAAAGAACTGACGTTTGTCACGAATTGCTTTTTATTTACAATAAGAG